GTAAAGCACCAAAGGCAGTTCACAGTCTCAGCTCTGAATGGACTTCCCTGCCATAGGCTATTACCCACACATTAAAGGCAGCAGCAGGAGGTGTTTTCTGTCTGCATTTTCCATGAATTTCTAAGCCAATTTACCTTGAGATGTATTTTCTTTATGCAGCGGGCCTTAAACAATAGTAGACAGTATTTTGACGCTTATGAGAGGATTGTGATATCCTCATTTACCATTCAAGACTTTCCAATATTAAGCGAAGAAAATGAAGATTATCTATCCTGCTGGGATGTTATGGATCTGAAAAGGAATAATGCATCAAGAAGCCAGAGGAGCTTTCAGAATATTCATCTGAGAGGAATAAGCAACACATCCCCACAGGAAAGCTAGCATGAAGGAACATGAGGCATACATTCAGTCGAAAAGAACTTGTGGTCGCACACAGATTAAATTCCTGTATAAAAATACACTATGCTTGAATAATTTCCTTTCAATGTTTTTGAATATTGAAATGGTGGCCTTAGCTGATTCTTCCTGAAGTCACACAGGCAACATCCAGGTGCTTCTCACCCCACTTCCATCCTTCATCTTTTAAATTACTTTTAACAATAATAGTACTCAGAATATGGAAAGAGCAATCTATGCTTCAAGATTTCTGCATCAATTACCACTTACTCTTGTGGAATATTTTAAGGATTTGAAGTTTTACTGAAATTTTTACATTTGAGGAGAAAAGAAATTTCCTCCTATTTTTTTTTAAATGCATTCCACATGCATTTAAAGTAAGGGGAGTAAAATAATTCAGCAAATTTATTTTGCAAATACCTGAATGTAAAGATGCACATTTGTGTTCTTGTATTTGTCTACAGAGTTCAAAATTTTTGTATCTATTACTTAAAACAGATAAAATAAATTGATCATAAAATAGTACTCAACTCATTCTGTTTTAGATTATCTGACATGCTCTTCTACACTTCCACGTAATTATAAATTCAGTAGCCATATGATGAAGAGAAAAAAAAATGCATGCAAGAGAGTATCGCTACACTCTGTTGTAGACTGACAAATAGCTAATGTATTTGACAGGTTTACAGTCATTTCATTTTCATCTGTGAAAGCATGCTATTCAGTTAATGTTTGTTTCAAGTATTTATTTTCAGATCTTCATTATATTTGCCCTAATGTTCTTATTTGGAGCAAAAATGCAATTCTAATAGGGTTATTTATTTAAGGACCAGTAATTGGGTCCCAGCAAGATGACATGTTAAAATATCTTGTTGTGAGTAGAAATATGCTTAGATTGAAAGAGAAGAAAAGAGGAGGAAAAAAAAAAAAAACCCACACCACGCACCTGTTCCTGCTTATTAGCTAGGCCTGTATTAAATTACACAATTTCATTTTGAATTAATATATTTCATTACCAGGCAGTATAAATTTTTTGGTATTAGCAGCCAGTAACTAGTAATATTTAAGTTGGGAATGACCAGCTGAAAGGTTAATATAATTCATGCTGCACAGTGCAAAACAACATTGGTTTAAAAACCGTCTTTCTTTTCCTGTGTAAATGGGTATGTACCAAGCACTTCCAAGAAATGAACTCAGGTAGCCCTCACTGAATACCATGAAAAACACTGATACAAGTTCTTCCATATATTTTTTTCCACAAATACCACTTGCAATAATAGGTATGATACAAATGGCAATACTATGGAAGGAAACAAAAATCTAAATTTCCCTTTTATCATATTTTAATACAATTCACAATTGCTTTGTTAAAGTTAAAAGTGGTTATTTTATCCTGAACTAATGTTCATGTTTTATAAATAAAACAAGGCACACTTCTTGCATCCATGAGATTTTTCAAGGAATATCCATTGTTTTTTACTGTTATGTTAGAGTTGATTTATTCCAAATAAACACAAATTATATAGCATCTATACACTTATATAAATAAAATATACATTTTCATTCTGTCATTCATTTTAAAGATTTGAGAAGATTCTCAAATATACATTTATCTAAAACTAGGTTCAACTTTATTGACAATACAGCACTATTCAAGGGACACACACAGTTACCCCACCATCAGTTAGGTGCAACCACAACTATACAGTATCTATGAACTCCAATTACATGTGGTGATGAAAGTTGAAGACCATTTAAGTGCCCATTACCACTGGGCCATTAAAGTTATCATAAAGCATATTTTTTGCACAGTGTTTGCTAAAAACGAAAATTATTCTGTAACTGCTATGGCAGACTAAATACATTCAATTTTGAACCAAAAGATTTAGACAAACATATGGGATGTCAGGATGCTCTAGAGCTTGCTGAACACTTCAGCCCTACCAGAGAACGTGCCTTCAAGCAGCACACAAAACAGCAAGTATCTCTTCAGTTTAAGAACACTTGGTCATAGACTCTCTTTGACAGAAATCTTTTTTAGAAATGCAAAGAAACCAAGATCAAATGAGAAACTTGTCTACAATCATACAACATACAGCTGAGCTAAGAGCTGAGCTTTTATTTTCGGCAGCCTTTTTGAGACTGGCACTAATCAATCCATGCCTGTGCACTAAGTCTCTCATGGTGCGTAGGGTAAAGATGTACCTATACACTGCAAACATTTTTGTCTGTTCTTGCTTGACACTCTCACCTAGGCTTTAAATTGCTGTTGAGAATGCAGCCTGTATAGATGCCACACAGAAGCAACAAATGAGGACTCCTCCACGGAGGAGCAGGTGTCAATAGTGACAATCATTTCAGTGCAGTCACACTAGCTGTATCATGTTTTTATGATGAAACAGAATTTTATCATTGACCGTACCAAATGCATAGGAAAATCCAGCTGGGTTAATGTTAATGCAATGTAATACAAATGCCCAGCAGTGAGGGAAGAAAAAAAAAAAAAAAAAAAAAAAAAAAAAAAAAGGTGATTCTTATCATGGTGCCTTAGGATTCCGGTAAGTGATACTCGCCATTCCATCTCAGCAAAAATTCTGACAGAAACCTAGTTCTTCACTTTCAGATTAGACATTTTACTTATTTGGGTATTGAGAATTTGGAGGGTTCATCCATAATCTGGAACAGTTGTAGCAGATGTTAGAGAAGAGGTATTTCTTGACTGATTTTATGACTACATTAACAGCTTGCAGTAATGTTTTGCTGCTGTTATCTGGGTCCACTCAGTTTTCTAGTCATGGAATTTTTCCTGATGGCTCCTCTCAAAAGTGAGGAGCCGTATACCTTCATAGGACTAGATATTCTGAGTGAACTAGAACAAAACCTGTCATTAACCAATGGTCAGATTGATTCAATTGGCATTCTATATCCCAGCCTTTGGATGAAGTAGATTGATCTACAAGAAACACCTAGAATTAGATAGGACCAATGACTTTCTAGGCTGACCACAATGCATTTTTCCTTACATATAAATAGAAAGGAAATTGTTTAATTTAAAAAAAAATCAAAAATTAATGTGGAAAAAAAAGAAACAAAAAACCCCAAACTTCCTTTCACAGATGATAAACCAGTATAGGTCTGTTCACTTACTTTTCAAAACAGAAGTCAAAAAAACATGTGGAAACTCCCCAAAGCATTATGCTTTGAAAAAGCATTTTATCTTTTCCATTTAAAAAAGAAGTAAAAAGGGACAACGCTTCCTAACACTGTACTGTAAGCTTGTAGATATTTGGTGGAGTAAATAAATTTAAATAAAGAGCTGACTAGTACTTAGGGTCAAGTTAATGCCAATTTGGGTTTCTCTATTACAGTGTAAACTGCCCACCTTATCTGCTAGAGGTAAAGATAATATTTTTTCCCTAATATTAAAGAATTGAATTAATTTTGAACTAATTAAAATTAATATTAAAGGATGGTCCCACTGAAAATGACATGTCATCTTACCTGTGCATGTTATCTTGACCAGAAGGGACTACCCCCAGGTTTGCTGCCTTCACTACTCTCTCCATTATTACAAGACTGGTGGAGTTCTGTGGAGCAACAGCTATTGTAGCAGATGCTTCATTCATTCCTGTGAGAATCCCTGAAATAATAAGTATTCTATTAAGAATATTTTAAGATTTGCTTTCTTATTAAGCATAAAACAAAAGACTTCTAATCTAAAAGACTGTTTACATTAAAAGTTAAATCACTCCTCAAGAAAGGAATTTTATAAGAAATATAGTTATGTTTACTTAATAATTTATTTATTACTAATAAGGCAAATAATATGTTAACAACTGAGCAATGAAATATGTGATACTAATTCAACTGAGAAATCAAGACGGTTCTTTCTCACAAAAAGCATATTCTGAAAGAAGAATGTAAACACAGAAATGAAATATTAAGTAAGATTGATTTGGAGAAGTCCATGTTAAATAAGACCAAATACAAAGACACCTTCTAATCTTTCAATCATGAAATCACAGTAATTAATTATAATTTTGTATCCAATTGCTAAAAATAATCTTCAAATTCAGATAGTAGTCATCAGCTCAATTTAGTTCATGAAGATAAAGCCATCAAAAATTCAGTTAGTATCCATCTCTTTAAAATGTCATGATAAACTATTTAATTAAAATAATTTGAACACTACAAAATGGAAGAGAAATGTCAAGATTATATCCAAACACTTGACTGACAAAAAAAGAAGTTAAGAAAGAAATGCTGTTCAAAGACATTCTAACAAACACTTTTCCTTCTTATCAACATCCGTTGTTTAGGAGAATCATTTGCAGTGTGTTCATGTTGATTAAAACCTAAGCAACAGTAAGTGCAATTTAATATTGTGAGCATATTTTTACATTATGTCCATAATCTAAAAACATAGAAAAACAATGGAACCCAGTATTTTAGACAAAAATATCAAGCAAATGAAACCCACAATAATATTGACAAATGTAAAATACCACAAAACTCTTCTAAGGCTTGTATTTGAGGGACATGCATACAGTTCTAATCTATAGCAAACAGCACTAAGATGCTTAATACAGCCACTGAAAATATAAAAGTGAACATTTTAATGCACTAGAATCTGCACTAGCTGCTGTCACAAAAAGAGAGAAAAAAAGAAAAACTAAAAATAAAGCAGTTCATGAGTAAATAATGGGATATTTTTGAACATGAGCTACTCGAAGAGAACAAAAATATATATATACACAGCTTCTATAAAAACCAGCTTTATCTTGGGAATAGTACATTCTGTTTCAAATAGTTTAACTTCACTATTAGGCAAAAGCTTTAAGAACTACATACGCTGACCAAAACTGCTTTTAAGCAGAGCACAGGGGCCGACATAACACTGCTGAGAGATGTGTGTACTCATTTAGGATTTAAACCTTCTCCATTAAGCTCTATTGAAGAGCAAATGTTGAATAAATGAATGCAACTATGTTTATGTTAAAAGCCTGTTTCCCGCAGCATGTAATTAAAGGAAATGTTGTACAAAGCCAGTACTTTTGTCAAGCTCCTGTAAATGGAAAGATGGATAGCACTCAGAGAAGTGAATGCATTGCTTCATATTTAACCTTAACACTCTTGTCATTAATGGTTTGTCTAACTTGTTCTATAAAAGACAAGGTACTGCTCCATTGAAGTAAAATTAAAAAAATCAACTAAACCATGCTTTTCAGAACAGAAGATTCATTATCGTCAACTAATGTATTGGCATAAAGCAAAGTAACATCCTATCAAGTAAGGCACACATTCAATCTGCCTTTCCACCCCCCTTTATTTTTAACTCATGCTGTTTTATTGTTATAGGCAATTTGTACCACTCAGCATGACAGTGTAAACTGAATCAAGATTAATTTACATGCAAAAGAACACTTAGGAGAGCAGCATGGTAAGCAAATGTATTGTCTCGATTGCTGAGGTGGAAAAGAACCTGGAAAGAAAAAAGGGTACTCTAATTAAGGGGCATCAAATATGATTGCTTATGGTAGTCAAGGGCCAGAAAATCGTAAATGCCTGACCATTTAAAGAATTAGCATCTTGCTTGTTAGGAAGACAAGTTGGAGGCATAAATCTTAATAAAATTAAGCAAGCAAATTGTTTACTTAACTACTTTTTTTAATTAACATAATTCAGGTATACTGTTTTTCAAAAATATGACAAAATTATTTTAAAACATGTCTGTAGAAAAAACCCACAAAGCACCATACTTACAGTAGTTTTAACTGGCCATTAAAAACCTTGAAAAGAATTTTGATTAATCTCCTGTTACAAGAATCACATGCCACCTTTATTATTACAGAAAACTTTGGGATATAAGGCGACTGTAGTCAGAGCACAGAGCAGCAATTAATCTGGGTTAATTAGCTAATACAATGAAACAAGTGTACATAGTTTGAATAATAAAAGGAAATGAAATTGGAAAAAATACATATATATATGGGCAGATAACAAGATATGTTAGCCACCGGATTAAATGCAACTCAGCCACACTCTGCAGCAGGCAAGAAGAGTTTTGCCACTCATCGTTACAGCTGCAGGACAAGTAAAAATTTAGCTACACACCCCTCTGTGGCAAAATTTTCCCTCAGACATAATTCCACCTAAGGAAATGGGATTCTCTGGAGGCTGCCATGTAAAATAAGCTACAGAATCCTGAGGCCTGAAGATCAGCAAAAATATTTAACCAGAAAGGTACAAGATAGTTTGGGAGTGCCACTTTTATCCACTTTTCCCAAATTACTGCCTGCAATATGGTGACGAACTCAGCTGCTGCTCCCAGGAATTCCCTCTCCAGAGGATTCCCCAGGCGGGGCTGGGCAGCCAGGCCGAGCGCAGTGCCGGGAGCAGATGGATAAACGCAGCTTTCCAGGCTCCAGGGCCTCCACCGGGGAACCTTCGAGCCATGAATATTCACTAACCCCTGGGCTCCCTTCTCCTATGCCATCAGGAGGAAAATGGAAATGTGCAAACGTTCAGACAACGCAAAGCAGCGCGGTGCAGCCGAGTAAGGACGTGTACAGCGCAATACTGTACATAACACTGTATAATACTGGCTATTTCCTCTTTAGCATTCTTATTAGATTAGATGGGCAATTTAGATGTAAAAATCCTTAAAACCTGCACATGTTCTCATTCTCCCCAATATAAACTTGCATTTCTAATACTGTGCGCTCTCCTTCACTATTTTACCTATTTATTATGATAGCAAATAAAATAAAGCATCTCCACATTTCAGACTTGAAACATCTAATGTCCAAAAACAAAAAAGGGAGAGGAGAAACCAAACAAAAAACAAACCACATGCACACACAGAGAAAAAGATGGCAAATGAAAAAACAAGTTACATAACTCACATTCATTTGGTAAATAAGATAAACCAGAGTTAAACACAGAATAAAACAATATACACTAACTTCTAAATTGCCCTGCATTTTATTATTATAATTTGGAATTTTCTTTTAGCAAAATAACAGTAGCTGTCCCCAAACACTAGTTGTTCCTAAATCTCTGTAATAAATACTTATGTAAAATTTAGAACTGAGATCCCAGTTACCAAGATGATTCTGAAACAGCTGGTAACTATAATAAAAAAGATGCCATCGGAAAGGTTTTTAAAGCTGTGGTTTTCAAAGCTGTGGTAAATTTGCCAGCATAAAGTCCTGCATCAACGAATGAATTCAGGAAGACAGAGAAAGCAATACAGAAATGCCAAGAGACCTTCATGGATTTACAAATACTTCATATAAACAAATTTTCAAATAGCTTTATTCAGAGTAGCCTTTCTGCTCTATTAAACATAGCAAACAGCTGCCAGATTTATTCAGACAAATAATCAACAACCATGGAAGTAAAACGGCGGAAGAAAAAGGAATTTTGGCAACAACTCCACAGAGGACCCCAGCTATTCTCCAAGTACACTTCTTCCGCGTGCTCACGGTTCTGTATGGCCAGTCAGGAGGAAAAATCCCTCCGTCGCAGCAACACACACAAAAACTCTTATCAAAAATATCACAAAGCAAGCAAATAGCAAAATGTGGGGGAAAAAGCATGGTAACCTCCTTTCCTTTCATTATAGCCTCAGCTACAATTTTTAGAAGGGAACAGTTTAAAATAAATGTGCTACAGCCTCATTCAATCACTCACCTTGGGTTGCTGAGCAGGTATAAAGCAGAGAGGCAGGCTTAAGCCAGGAAGGGGACAGAACAGCAAATAAGTATCAATTGGTTAAGAAAACAAAGCACAGTCCTAACTTTCTACTACTACAACTCCTAACTTTTTACTACTGCAATAAAATTTAACTGAGAAAAATCTAGCTAATATTTAAACTACTTTCTGAATAATTCAAAACCACAAAAGCAAGAAATGTTCAAAAGCGCTTATTAATAATATACAGTACTACTCTTTGGTGTTGTTGACCGTGTGATGGATACACTGAGTTTCTGAGCCTTGCACAGCAATGTGACAGAATCCCATGCCATTCTCATCTCAGTGTGAAGAGATTTACACATGTAAATGTCCATATATTGGGACAGATGTGTAAACACTATGGCATTTGAACACACCCAAAATGCAATATTTTATATTTCAGAATATTCAAGAATCACATCCAAATTAAGGGTAGGACTGTGGATTGTTCCACTTAACACAAAGACAACTACACTTTTCTCTAGTTATTCTGGATAAAATATTCAAGTTACTAAACACACTTTAGTAGTTGTGTTGTGACTAGAACCAAACTTTTCTTCCTTAAAGATGTAATATCAGAAGAATCTCTGCAAGGTTTTTGCAAGATGGCAAAAGCTTATTCAAGCAAGCTTATTCAAGCATCATTCTTTCTAAAGCTTATTCAAGCAAGAATATTCTTTTCATACAAAGAAACATTCTAAAGCAGAAAGGTTAAAATAAACTTAAGTAGTAGCTGAAAAAAAGTAGCATTTAAGAGTAGTCTTGGAATAATGGCTAGCAAACTCCATTATATCAATGTATATTTGGTTTATTTCTTGGAGCTGGGGTTCCAGATTTCTGCCTTTCAGCTCAAATGAAGCACATTAATACTTCATGACAGGAAGCCAAAACTTTAAGCTAAAAAATATGAGGAAACATATCCTTAGGATACAATGTGGGCTTTGATTTTTAAGGGCACCCTAAAAAAAAGTGAAATACCACTGCAGGACCTTTTTAAGGAGTCATCAGTACCAGATGATGCTACCAGAGAACACCAGCAACAGCTATGCTAGAAGCACTCCATGCACACTCGGATGTTGAAAGCAGCACAAGCCTCTTCTCAACCAAAAACATTTCCTTAAGCTGCTGAAATAATGTTTCCTACCTTGTTCCTTCTTAAAGTCCTTCTCTGACATAGTGACAGGTAGAAGCAGTTCTCCGACAGGGGGCTGGATGCTAACGTTGAAACGATCCTCCTTTGTGCTATGAAAAGAGAAGTTGCAGAGAATCAGTGAAGGGTTTTTACATCAGCATAGGTATTCCTTGCTTCTTCTCCAATGCAAATACAGCACCAATATGGTAGGCATACTTGTATTTCTGAAAATGTTACTTTTAATCATATTAGTGTTTAAATATAACCTATGAAGCATCAAACTAAACATATATTTACAAGTTCAGTCATGAGCAATAGATGTCTCAAGGAACAGGGCTAAATCTGGCAAATCAACAGTTTCAGGAAAAAAAAAAAAGACTCAAAATTAAAATCATAAATTTGTGAATCCAGAAAATAATGTTTGATCACATCAGTTTTCAGACTTTAAGTTTTGACATATTTAAGCCTATAAACACACATGCACACACCCCTATTTGTTGATTTAAAAGCATGCTCGAAAATCTTAGATTTTTGAGGAGGGTTTCATAACAGCAGAGAGAGAAAAACAAACAAACAAAACCTATCAATAGTGGAACATCATCATATATATTTATATACACACATATTCCTCCTCAAGAAATAAACCACAAACAACCAACTCGTGCTGTCTCACCATTGCATTAGCCACATTCCTGATTAGCTGGAGTTCTCCAGGTCTACAGAAAACTCAAGACACCTTCTATTCAGCCATGTCTAATTGACTAGCTACAGCTTATGGGATTCAGCTACCAGCTGATGATCAGTACATGCATTTACAGCTGAGGCATGAGGAATTTTTAGAAGAGGACCTTTTATTTTGCTGATGTACCAAATGATCAATACATATTGACTGCTGATATGCCTCAGATATCCTACTTAAATATAATTATAAAATCGTTAGAATGGGAAATAAATTTGATTAACATCCATGATATTTAAATTAAGCTCAGGTATTTGTTACTGATTTTTAATAGTCCTGAATTTAAAATTCTGCAATAATTTGACTGATAGAGGAAACAGCATTAGATGATTAATACAGAAAATATATTTGTCAGCTTCCTAATGATACAAGATAAGTCACCTGGAAGCAGGAAATAGAGCATTTTATCTTCCTATTACTTACAACTTTAATACTTGCTACATTTACCTAAATAAACAAGAAAATATTTAGGAATTCTTACATTCCTCTTTTCTAAGATCTGATGTGCTATGATTGTGCTTATGGATGTAATGTCAAATATAGACATTTGAGATATAATTCAGCAGGACTGCTGCCTTTGTTCAAAATTTTTAGTCATAAACTTATAGTGAAATAATTCCTTGAAATGCAGCTAGCATTCACATAAGAAAGAATCATTTATGGAGCGCTGATTTTTATAATTAGCTTAGCTTACAAATACTCATGTTTTCCTCCATGCTATTTTAAATACCATACACCTCCAAAGTCGGTAACATGCTAAAAGGGCAGGGATTGCTTGATTGTCTAGCAAAATTAAGTGCATTACAAAGTAAGAGTCATACTTTTCTTTAATACCTTTACAAAACCAACCAAGAATTCCAACAGCTTAAGAGCAGGCGGAAGGTTCTTTAATCAAGTGTCTCAACTTCCTGCTGTTTATATACACACCGTTTAGATAATACCAAACTTAATTTTAATGGTACTTTCAAACCAATGTCAGCCAAGGTGTTCATGAAATAATCTGGTATAAAACTGATTAACAGCTTTGTGTGCAATGATTTACTTCCTACATTGACTGAACATATCATGTATACATAAACCAGACTTAAAACATCAATTATTAGAGTGTTTTGAAATGCCTATAACAATCTTTTTATACAAAAGAGGAACAAAAGCATCAGAATACTCTGAGTTTTAAAAGGTCCTAACTGTGCTTGAAAGGACCACTTGCCATCACTGCCATAATAACCATTCCATCCTCTAGCAATTATAAAGCTAATAGGTATTCCTTGGAAAGCTATGACCTTTTCAGGGGCTACAAGTGGAACTCCTGATTGCTGGTTATTCTTCAAAAAACATCTAGTGCTTGATTTTGTTACAGTCAGCGTATAGTTTACTTTGTGTTACCTTTTTTAATTTTGGTGTACCTCTGTAAGTGCTTTTTTCAGGCAGAGAAAATTATCCTACTTTTCATAACTCTATCACACACATTACTGATCAAACATAGAGTTTTTTTTTACTGATCTGCACTACTTTATTACGTCTTTTAATTACAGAATTATTAATATATAAATTAACAAAGAATAATCTTACATTTCTATAGATTTATAGAATTTAGGCTGGGAGGGACCTCTGGAAATCATCTGGTCCAACTTCCTGCTCAGCGCAGGGCAGCTAAGGGGACACTGCTGAGAACCTTGTCCATTAAGCCCTGAGCATGTCCAAGAACAGAAATTTCATCAAATATCTAACAGACATGGTTAACCACTAAATTGAAACATGCCAGTAAAATATTATATAAATCTCCTAAATGCCTAATAAGGTACACTTATATCTAATTAACTTAAGTAGCATTTATATTAATTATGATACTCTAAAACATGCAGAAATGGTTTGAAACTTAAAATTAATGATAATAAGTCTGGCAGACATTTGGTTCGAACTGCACTGACACATCCCAAGGGGATTAGCTCCAACTTATCAAGTTGAAGAAGTTTCTCAGGAGAAAAAAAATTCCTCATATCACCATGAAAAAAAAAATTACAAAAATTCTTTAAAGAAAAGGAATTTTGAGTATTAGCTGGTATAGTAAGCTCCATCCTTAGGGGAACATGTCTGCTCAACGGGTGTACATGACGGAGCTCCAAAAAAATCACATGAATATGGGTTTTTGAGAACAGTACCTTACCCCTACTTGGAAAAGTCTCTTTTGCATGGAACTGTGGACAAAAAAAGTTTGTCTTTATGTCCTTGACTGCATTACTCTTACGTTAAGAACTGTACATACTGCCTTTCCAAAAGGCTTGCACCACTTTCCAAGAAACACAGAAATGCATCTTCTGATGCTAACCTTTATGATGATAATGCTCTCCCAGAAAACAAGGGAGAGCAACAATCTCTGGCACAAATGACCCAGCAAGGCTAACATTCAATCCTTCAAAAGAACCACAGTTTTAACTCTCAGATGGCTACAACAGGAGTTTACTATAGCACTTGCTATTTTAAACATGGGTCCATTTACCTTATTCCCATTGTTTTAAGGGTTTAGCTCCAAAAATTTCCCAAAGTTGTCTTTTCTATAATGATGGCCTTGAGGACAAAGATTACATCATCATCTTTAAAACTGATATAAATAACATTATATCTGTAAAAAAGCACCCATTAAGCTACACAATGGCAGTCTTCACTTCTCAAGGACATGTAATGTAGATTTTTCTTCTATTATTTTGATAAAATGTTGGGAATATCCTTCCTGCCATAAACATGACCTACTTCTGCTCTATTCCTTGTAGTCCATTGTAGACTCTTGACCCAGAACACATCTATCAAAAACAGCTCACAATTTTTAGTCTTGCATTCAGAAACATCCAGAGATGAATTAAAAGAAGAATGTGAAACAAAGAGCAACATACTAAGTGCAAAAGATGAAATCAAGAAGTACGGGAGACTTTGGTCATACAGTTGTGTTGCAGAAAGGAACAGACAGCATTTGACTTTTACGAGAAAAGAGGCTACACAAATAGAAGGAACATACACACGTCCAGTCTTGCTTTTTCCAGGTCAGTTACTTATCTAGATAAATTTCTTTTCTGGAACTAGACCAACTGACTACTTTAGAGTAATGCAATAAAGAGAAGAATACCAGAGTGCCTGTCTTACTATCCAACATCTGTAAACAACTTAGCGATCTGCTGACAAGTCACAAGGGAAGGAAACAAGTGAAAACGCAAGTGACAGTGATGTGAAGACAGCATTGCCTCTCCTTAACATTAGGCTTTAATATATGCCATGGCACATTTTAATCAGAAGCTTTTATGCAAGCATCAACACCTGAATTCATGTTTGCCCCTCCAAACAAATACTGAATGCTGCTGAACTGATCTTTCATTTATTGCTGCTCAAAGGTAGAAATTCTGTTTAGGGAGATTTCTGCATCAACACGGAATGAGATAAGTGAGAAAAATCTCTGCCATGGGAAACAAGAAAGCAAAACACACAAACACAACCAAAGAGAGGAAAAAAATCTCAACAACAACCACAAAAAAAAAACCAAAACACCCACACCCCCCCAGAGCAAAAGCTTTTATGATAAGGCACCACTTGCACAGAATAGATCTTACAATCTTTCCAAATATCATCTGGGGAATTTACTTCATTTAGGAAGTGGCCAGATTCTTCTTGCTACACCAGCCTTTTTGGAGCAGCCAACTCTGTTTATACCATACAGGGGAATGAGGCGAACAGACACCTCCTCTCTCTTCTATCAGCATAACAGTAATAGATGAGCATGTCCAGGGTCCCAGCTGTTCTGATATCAGCTTTAGGAGAAGGGAAATGCCACTGCAAGGTAACCAGCCCCATGCCCGTATGAACCTATGCGTCACACGTCACTTCTTCCATGGTCTCGTTATCTTAAGCAAGAATGAAAGGTATAAAAGTTGTTCTTCCATTGCCTTTCTCTTTTGTCTTCTTGGGACTCCTGATCATACTCTTCACAGTTAAATCTTGAGAAAATTAAGCTGGAGGAAGATTTGCATGGACACAGGCACATTCCTTACTCCAATGCTAATGAAGAGAGGGAACAAAATCCAAAACTTTCAAAGGACGAGGAAGAAGAAAACAGGTTCTCTTATTTTATTTGCAAACCTGCTTCTCTTTTATGGCTTTGAGAAGAGCTAAAAGTATTGAAAAGATGGGGAAGGAAAAGAAAGAAAGAGATAAGAATGTTTCCTATTTATTTCTCCAGCTTGCAAAGCTATAAATAGGACTTTTTCACCTTTAGTCACTTGCCGTGCACTTAAAACAATCTGGAGATTTGCCTACTGGCTTTTACAAATGGAATGAAGGATTAGAAATTCTAAATCCATGCCAACACAAAATAGGGTAAGTATATGTATAGACTTAAGTGCCTCGCCTTTCTTCTCTAGGTGTCCAATGGTTTCCAATCCTTCCAAGGATCTGGGTGCAAGCTCTTGACACACACAAGCTCCAAAACCTTTATTCACACATCTGAGGAAACTGCTAAGCTGTGAGAAAGCTCTAAGAATATCTGATAGGTAGAGACATGCAACATAATAAGGCAAACAAAAGACAATATAAGGACTGCTAAAACAATAATTGCTAGTAGCTTAAGGACTCAAAGGAAAACACAAGAAACATGGAAACATAGTATCTCACAGAGAAAGATAATCCCCGGTCAGAGGACTACAGGAAATCTGCAACATCAAGGATCCATTCAAGGCACCAGAGGGGGCCAACCTTTCCTTTCCTGCCTGATGCTCAGCAAAGGTTTTGCTGTCTTACCGGGAAGGTGAAAATCCTAACGCTCAGCTAAGATTCAGCAAGCTATCAGACTGCCTGGGCACACGAGATAAAAATATAAAACAACTTCTGGTTGTATAAGTTGTGTATATTCTGCTTGCAGAGTCTGAACAGTGACTCCAAAAAGGAGCAGTAGCAATCTGCAAATTTCATTTAAAAGATTAGATTTCTCCACTTATTCTTTAATTTTCCAGAGCATAGAGAAAGACATTACTGTGCAGAACATGAGTGTAAGTGAAGCATCAGAGTGTCACTACAAGTGCAGGGCACAAGACAGCAATGAAGAGATGTTCCTGCTATGAGTATATGGGTTGAAGACTCTGATACATGTTCTAAATAAACACATTAGGAACAGTTTTCAAGCTAAGGTGTTTCTCCTCTTTTTAATTAGATGTGTGATCTTGGTAAGCCTTGCTTAATAAAAATTGTGTTTACAAAGGAGGCTTTTCAAAGCTCAACACTTTGAGCCTCTACTAAAATCTCTCTTTTGTTGATCTTGATTCACACAAGAGCTTCAGAAAGAGATCTAAATATTTTATTACTCATGTTTGCTTTTTTCTTGATGTAGTTTGTTTTTATTGAACCACTATTGCAATAGCACATCCCCAAGCAGAAAGGTAGTGTTTACTATGCAAAACACACAGTCTGTGATTGGCATCAAAGACCAATTGACCTACCCATTACCACTCCCTCCCTACCCCCACAAGCATTACTACAAAGTTATTGATTTAAACACTGCCGATCGGTTTCCATTTTCTGATTTTGGGCAGGCCAATTAAGAAAGTGAGTAATTGTGATTACACTGCTTCAGGATCAATTACATCTGATGCAAGACAAAGTGCTCCTTTTAGAACAACATAAAAAAGAGGATTATGATCAGGAACACTTTACCACTGAATCTGCTTCTAACAAAAATGCAAAATAACCGACATGGTATATCTCTATGAAAGGCATTACGAGAAAACACAAAAATATCGACACCTTTGTGTGCACAGTATTTTTTGCCACGTTTTGACAGACTTATGGAAGTTATCCTTCCTCTTGGATAAAAGCTTTTTAAAAAGCATAACAATTTAAAAAGGCTTCAGTTGAAGCCCAAACCTCACAAGGCATAATCATTTTGGTGGTACTGACATCAGTACGATTTTGAACAATACATGTTTTATTTTATCAGTAAAATCGCAAATTTAATTCAGAGAACATTTTACCTATTTTTATACCTTTTTCAAAGAGCTAGGTGCAAAAGACAAGGCCCTATCAATTAGTAAAGGAACCAAGTAAGCAATTCCTATTCTTAATTTAATTTTAAACTTAGCTCAAGCTTTGTCATTGGACTCACATTGTCCAAATCATTAAAATGAATACACCGCTGAGGTCTGAGGCAAATCTATTTACAGTGATGTTACTCATAGTCTGGTTGGTGTTCAGGAATATCGATCTGTCTTGTTTGTCTAATAGGAAAATAATAAACAATTACTAGGCAATGTTGGAGAAAGTAATCGGTTATTATATATCACTAATATAGCAGACCTCCCAAAACATAAAGGTGATGATCTGCATAAAATCAATGTGTTATGCTACATTGCTTATCCTCATCACTGCTGAAATTCTTAGCAATAAATGGTTTAAGTTTGGAACCAAATCACTGGTACACTGAAAAGATGTACTTAAAATATCTGCTTTTCCTAAGACTGTCCCTGTCTGATAAACAGAGCACATTTTGTATAAAACAAAAACATACTTATAGACAGAAGAATGTCTCTTCTTTTGAGGAGGCAATTATGAAAATAAATCACATGGAATGGAATTCCCTCTCCCAACAAAACTTGCATCAGGCTAACATATGATTCAGAAAAACAAGCTAGATTTCCAAATTGTCTAAAACTTCCTCTAAACTCCAGCAAACAGCATACAAACCACAATGATGCTCTTCATTAGCATTGGAGCAAGAAATGTGCCTGTGTCCATGCGAATGTGTAAACTACATGCTGCAGCTGTCTTACTGGAGGTATCAGTATCTTTAAAATGAATTCCTATGAAGATCTACTGTACCAAAAAAAAAAAAAAAAGGTTTTGGAAGAAAGAAAAGATATAGATAAATTTTTAATAGTAAATTGCCCTGTCACTAAAACAGGTAATTCATTTTCAGCAGTGGTTTGGTGTTAACTCAGTTACATTTCTACCATAAAACTTCCATCCCTACCTTCAATAACATGCAAGTTTTCCAAGCTGTGCTTTGTAGCAGAGCACTAAAATAGCAGTGCACCATATTTACAGCCACAAAATTGAAAATGCCATGTCCCATGTTATTTTCAGGTGTTTTTCTTCCCTCCCCCTTGAGAACTCACCATAACTGGAAAGTGGCAGTCTGAGTAGAATCACAGAAGTCGATACCCATTGAGACAGTAATAGATCCCTCAGGCTCAAGAGATTCTACAAGAGAATATTTTGAGCAGATAAACAGCAGATTTGAGCAGTTAAGCAACAGAATATCCCGGATTCAAAACCCTCAAACCTCACATAGTTAGAAAATCTGTATGCAGCAACAACAACAAAAGTAAATACTTGTGGTTTAATTTCAAGCAGATCTCAAGCAATGCCACACTTCCACGTTTAAGTGTCTTTTTTTTTTTTTTCCCCCACCACAGTTTAAGCATACAAAATGTTACCATGAAAATCCAACAGTCCCATCATCACCAAGATAAGAGTTTATATTCAAAAAATATATAATCAAAGGGGAAAAAAAAGCATTAGAAATACATCCTTTTGCTTTGCAAGCATTGGCACTTCATTTAGAGTAATACCAGCCTCCAAATTTAATTAGTAACTAGCAAACCAGAACAAGTATTAGTAAAATTTACATTACCACACAGTAATGAGAAAAGGTTAGAATTTCAAATATTTCATAATTGATATGGCTTACTTATTTCCCAATATTTTCCTAGCATTAGTAATAGAAGACAGTAGAAAGATTATGAACTCAAACTGGAAGATAATTTTGTGCTTTATAAGCACTATAGAACGAGTAACTTCTCATATGAAGGTATTGAGACATGTTCTTACTTTCTTGACTGTAGCACTGCATTATTTACAGTAGTTTGTATCATGAAAATTAAGAAATCTGAACTGGTCAAAATACTAATTTCAGGAATTCTCATATTTTTTATATGAAAGAAGTGACTGCATATGTTTACTCACTCTTACTGTGAATCTAGTAACAATTGATTTGATTTACTTTATTAATAGTTTGCTACTTTTAAGTCTTTGTGACTCTCTTTTCTTTGAATGTTTAAAGAGAGATACAAAGTTTGGTTTATAGTCCATACCAATCTGCAGTCAGTATTCTTGATTGTTTTTTTCAGACAATTATCAGAATCGTTAAGCTTGGAAGGGACCTCTAGGGATCATCTAGTCCAACTCTCCTGCACAAGCAGGGACACCTAGAGCATGTGGCACAGGGTGGCGTCCAGCCCATATCCTCACTAAAAGTAACTTAAAGCAAAGACAACTCATTAACTCACAAGCTGCTGCACTTTGAGAATTTGTTTCTAACATCCCTCTACCATGGTATGGATTCTAACAGTACTGCAGATCAGTGCAAGAGAAGACTCTCATGTACTGACAATACAGGAGTTGGAGCTTCAAGGAGTGCCTGAAGCATACAATGGAATATGAAGCCTTTCCACTTACATTATGGAAACTTTGGTTCCAAATCCGTATTCTATGGTGCCCTAACACACAGCTCTCTGACACGAAAAGGAAAGCAAGCTGGTTATATGCGCAGATACTAAGTTTCCCTTGCATCTCATTACAAGCATTCTGGATTGGGGACATAAGAGAGACAAGGTCTAGGTAGAGAGAGAGCATCTTCTATTAGATCAACTGAAATTATTAGAAAAAGCAGGAAAAGTAGTTTTGAGATATAATGGTTCTAAGGAGTAAATTTCAATGTCAAATACAAGTAGGGGAAAGCCAAGCCAAAATTAACTTTTATTAATCAGATTATTTAAGAAAAGGTAGTTACATATTTTTTATATATATAAAATGCATATATATGCATTTATATTAAATGTATATATAGAAAAAATTCATGGAACTACCTTTTATATATATAGCTACCATATCTATATATATATTGTTGTTTTTTTTATATAGCTATATATATGATAGCATGTATATTCTTTATAAGTCAGGTACTCTTACCTATTGGATTAAAGCCATGCATCCTCATGCCGGCAGGGAGCTTCGTCTCCCCTATGTGAATGTTCTCTATCTTCTGATCCGTTGTGTTGGTTACTGTTACTTGCACAGATACCAGGCGGTCACCAAAAATGCATGGCTGTCTGGAGAAGTGATAATGAGCTGCTAATCCTTTTCCACTCATTCGATGAAGCAGTTCATATGTTTTTGTTGGCACAAAGACTTGAGTAGTGACCTGTTAATAAATCAAAAACAAAACAATTAACAGAGTCTCACAAAGACCCTGTCTGAAAAGATTGATAAAATAATTAATAAAACGTAAGTTTTAAGGGTTAAATTAAATCTCATTCTTAAGTTTAGAGTTAGCATTTAATCTTAAGACTAAATTCAACTTCAGCTCTATATCTACAATACAGACATTACTTCATAAAACGCTTAGGAAATGTGTTATCATGTTAAAGCTGGTAGCTTATCTTTGCTACCATATAACTTGTTTTATTAATATTATTTATAAATACAAATGAAAACATAAAAAGGTAGAAGTCCAAACTCTAGATATAAACAGAGCAAAAATCCCTCAATATACATAATCAATTGTGATACTGACTCAAATTTTTGCAAAAATCCTCTTGGGATTTTTACTCAAAGACTTTTCCTAAGCTCTTAAAGTATTAATTCTCATATTTCATTCGCAGTTTCACTCACATGATCTCATTCACTTTTATTTTCAAAATCACAGAGGAAGAAGCTTGTAAATGACAGTCAGAGTAACATTAGGTTTTTATGGTTTTTAATCTTCAGATCTATTTAATATGGCAGTACTATAAATAAATAAAATCTAAACGTACCCTGAACAAAAGACATTTAGTTTCTGAAAATTAGAGCTCTCAAGATATTTCCTTGACAGTTAAGGGTGTGAGATGACAACATACATAACTTTTAAATCAGTCGAGTAAATATCTTTTGTTTCAATTTTGTTCTAGTTTTAAAATGTTTAATGCACACAGCTGCAATACTTAAAAAAAATAAATTAAAAAAAAAAAAAACCAATAGGACAGATACCTGCAATAATTCTGAGGTTGAAAAAAGAAAAGAAATTCTCCAAAGAGTTAATAGAATAAGAAGCTCCTAGTAACCATGAGATAATCCCCACAAATCTTACACAGCATATGTTTAAGTAATAGAAGTCGTTTGTGTACCTTTGGATGGTTTATGAAAATAACCAATCAATGCTGCAGACACAACATTATTTCTAAAGGAAATCTATGTGACTCATGATGCCTGCAGATACACAGAGACAAACTACACATATTTTATCAGTTTATTACAGTAAGCAAATAAGCGTGGAATGAGAGTGCACATAACTGTCTACTTAACGCTTACTGAAACATTTATAAGAGCTGTTATCTCCCTAATAACAGACAGACAGTGTGCAATTTTAGAGAGGAGAAAAGCTTCATATTTTTTAACACTTCACTAAAAAGTAACTGAAGAGTGTAAAATGAAAAATACTCTGTGCAGTTAGCTGGTAATGGACCATATTATCAACTCAAGTTAGATTTATAGGATACAAACTAGTCACTAATAGTTATTTTATGACACAGCATGTCTGCCTTTTTTGGGTGAAGATTACTAAGATTAAACTCATAAAACTTTTTTTTTTTTTTAAATACAGCTGTTTAGAATGACAGAAACACAAAAAGAAGAATATAGACCATCCCCCAGTTCATTTTGATGGAAAGCCACCAGGAAGTAAAAGGGACTCCACAGATGGTGGTAAAACCACCCAGGTATGAATCAGACTGTCCCTCAGTCCTGCTAACTGCACCTGCAGTCCCTACAACCTTTGCATCTTGTTGAAAGATGACCCCAGACCCTAAAAGGAACTGTAAATATTTTCAAACTACTTCTTAACAAGAGCAACAACATCAGGATTTTGAATTAAAAGTATCTGTTAAGTTCATAAACTAAAAATGTAAGATCACTAACCATAATTTGTTTACTTGACCACAACCCAAGTGATTAGATACAATCTGCTGAGTCCTCTCAGCTTGCTTTTCCTCTTTAGACAATAAATGTATTAAAAATACCTAAAACAATGTTCAAGCTAATACAAAAAGAAAAAAAAAAAGTTCCTATAACTATTCAAAACAGAAAGCTCTACAGCATCTTTTAAACAGAAATCACTGTTGGACAAACTTTCCTGTGTGAAATACTATTACTATTTTTATGAAGGAGGATACAAGTTTTTTTTTTTTTTTTGGCTTTTTTTAATTTTATTTTTTTTCTCCCTTAGTTTAGCAATGCACTAATGATTAAATCAACTTTTGATGCCCATTAGGACAAAGTAGAAATGTTTGGGTGAAACAGTATTGCAGGAAAAAAAAATGTTTGCTCCCATGACTGACAATAATTATAATTCTATTCCTCTAAATTACATTCTGTTAGAGTGGTGGACTGAATCATTTAATACAAGTAGCCCTTCTACTGCCCTCCTCTATTGGCAATATCCATGACATAATCCCAGAATGACCTAGTGATCTGAGAGCTCCCCCGCGGCCACGCTCCGCTGCCTTCCCCACAGTTACGATGAGGAGAAAGGGTCCCGTGCAGCCCAGCCACATTTACATGATCTTTCCATTCCGGCTATAAGAGCAAGTTAACCACAGTTTTATAATATTAGGAAAAAGACGTAGAATGAGGCAAACAAAGGAAAGAAATACTGGCAGAAAAGAGCACATTCATGATCTTTTGCTCCATTTCCAGTTACATACCAGTCACAGCCACAAGGCAATATGTTGCTTTTTATGGCTCTTTTGAAATAAGAGCAAGCAAAGAATTGCAGAAAGAATTTCAACAACCCAGTCGGTAATATTTGAACTAGGATTTCAAGAGGCTGCGGGCAAGCCTCAACAACGAAGTTTAATTAAGCACTCATTTTTTGCAGTCTAGAAAAATGGTACCATGATTCAATTTTAGCTGATTTATCTAGAAAGACAGTCAACAGCTTGATATCGAATTCTAGAAAATATTTAATGACAACTTTCTTTCCAAAGACTCATTCAACAATTGTGTATCTGCTAGACATCTAGGATAACATCTAGAACTTCTAAAGTTCTGGCAGAAATCCTTCAAGTTCTAATACACCATATCAACAATTTCAGATATAGAGACCGAGTTCCAAACATTCTCTCTGAATTCCAACATTTATAGAATATATTTTTTCTCTAAAAGTCCTGGAAACACCCCTTCCCTCTCCCAATCTATTTTTAAATCCCATCAATATCAGCCTCGGACTAAAGAAGGGAGGACTGTTGTTATACTCCCAATATACTCCCACTGCTTCTGTAAGGCAGTCAAAATTAATTCTTTTCTCTGCTTCTTCTTTAATATTGACATGGTCTCAAATAGCCATAAAAGCAGCATTTCAAAAATGCAGTGTGAATCTATGAACCTACAGATGAGCAAATTAGCCAAGAATTTGCTCAGTTATCATCATCTAATACTTTTAAGGTCCTTGGATTTTTCCTGGGTTCTCTTATAATACAGCAAGCCAGACAGATGTGAAGTAAATTGGTATCAATAAAAAGTTTTGCCCTTAGAGCCTATGGAAATGCTATAGCATATAAGGGAACCAGAATTGGACCTCAAACTGGAGTTCGTGAACAGCAGAAAAATCTCAACCCCATGCCATATTCATCAAAACATTTTTAAAATGAATAGTGTGCTTTTTGGTGTAATTTTGTATTTTATGAATAAATGCAGGCCAGTGAGATACATTCAGTATTTAGAAAAGAGCTTGAAGTTTTATATATTAATACTCTTTTCTTTTTTTAAGTTTTGGCATAGTTGCCTTTTTCCTATGCTGTACATAATGAAATGTGAATAAATAGTAAATCTTCAAAAAAGTGCCACAAGAAAGAATTTAAGTAGTAACAGAATAGGAATATTCTCATGATTAAGTCTGAAGTATTGAACAAACACAAAGAAAAGGAGTAAATTCTGTATTTGTATTTATGATCCACAAAGTTGTGTGGAATTTATACCTCTTCATATAAATTCAGAACTGTAGATTCTTCCCCATAGGATACTCTGGGATCACTACCAGCATATGAAAGGAGCTTATACTGGTACTAAGGGAGAATTTATTTCTAAAGCCATTTACAGAAAATCCCTACATTCAAGGACTTATATTGCTTCCCAATACACATTTCAACTTTTAAAACAGTGCCCAATCTAATTCACATTTCTGCAAGGAAAACTTCCAGATTTACTTTGTCTGCAATGACTCAAATGAAACCCAGAGCCTAATGGTTTAGGCCTGTGTATGACTTCCATCAAACAGTGCAATATTTTAATTCCCTTCATAAAAGTCATCAGGTGTTTCAAAGAGAGGACATTCTCCCAATATATTAACAGATAATCTCCCCCAGCCACCTGACTGAAGAGTTAGGGAAACATCTGAAGTAGTTAGAGAGTTAAAAACAGAGTAAGATGTCAGCCTTGTCCTGTTCGGAATATGAAAGGGTGGATGCTGCAGATAAGACTCAATGCCAAAATCTATATTAATGCCTAAGTGACTTCAAAGTAGTTCCCACAAATGCCTCTAATAGATTATTTTAATTTTGGCAAAAAGCCAGCACTCTTTAGAGACAAGACCTCTAAAGTGAAAACATACTGAACCCTACTGGCAATAAAGTATAATTTTACCATTAGTGTTATACTTCCTTTGCACTGACACTTCCAATAGAATATTCTTCCAATAGAAGCACCTAGTGTAGACATCTCCCCAGAAAAGGGCCTCTTGTGTTAGGATAAGTGCAGAATTTAAGTTGAAACACTTACTACAGAGCATCACCAACAAGCCAAAACGTGGAAGTGAACTCAGGCTATCATTTGCTATATCGAACCCTGGCCCACGTAAGTACGGATGCTAAAGCACCAATTGTATCTGCGCCGTCCGTGCAGGGGTCGAGCCCGCCCGTACAGCAATGGCACTTGGCTGGAGGGTGCTGATGGGCCAGGGCTTCCCAAGGTTGCTTTCACTTTACACAGAGTGCTTTAGCCTGCAAAAATCCATACTCCTTAGGTTGTGAAAGTTGCAGTTCACCTCACTAAGACTTCCACCAAAATGCAGCCCTTTCAAGTTCATCACTCAGTCCCATTCATACACAATGCTGAGGAACACCGTCAGAAACGTAAGGCCATTTTGCAAACACCCAGCCAAAGCATGTC